AATGCCACTATACCGCAATACCGCAATAACAATTGCGGTATTGCGGTATAAGCATTTTGATTTTGCCGCAAAATCAAATTCCCCACCAACTCATAGGATCTTATAAAACCTACATAGATAATTATCCTAGAAATAAGTGTTACCAGACCTGCAATAGCCTCTTTACGAACTGAATCTATATTAAATACTTGTTTTAATCAAAGAAACTATCTTTATCAAATACTGTATTGAGTTGGAATTAAAATATAGAATGTAAATTTCAAAAAGCATTGCATGAAGAGCATCATAGTAAACGCCTTTTCACTATCAAAATGCAACTTTTCCGAATTCTAAAAATCATATTTGTGATCACTACAAAAAAGTGCATATAAAGGATATATGTTTTTCAAGATGTGTAAACAAAAATATTTGTTACGAATCTTGAAGTGGGTCACAAGCATCAAAAATCTCATTTCGACATCGTATAAAAATGTATGGTAGAAAATAATTTTAGTAATCTCTATCATGTTTCAAGTCGAAAAACATCTTAAAACAATCGTGCGCCAAAACTTTATTTATCGGAATGCGTCCTGTGTTCTCGCAGAGTGATAAAGCCATGGGAATAAAACAGGTGAAATAAAAAATAGATTTAAAAGCAGGGTAACTATGAAAATAATCGTTCTATCATTGAATCAATATAAATAGGCCTACATGTCAGATGTGTAAAACACATTAATTTACATCAAAATGCATTATTTACCAACAATTTATATTGTGTTTCTTGGTTTTGCTGTCTTAATTGTTGACTGTAATGTAGTGAACACACAAAATGGTAAAATTAATTTCAATTTGATTAAATAGAAGACTTTTATTTTTAGTGCTTAGGAATAAACAATGTTAATCTTGATTGTTCAAAATTTAAACCAGATCTAGATGTACTTCGATCTTTCTCATATACGGTACAACTTAATCCACTTATTACAATTGGCAAGACTTACGCAATTATGAATTCTGTTAGTCAAGTCGAAGAACTTAGTATCTACCATCAGATTAATCTGCCACTGGATGTTTTCTGTCATGTTGATTTACGTACTCTTCGAGTTAATGGCACTCCATTTGTTTCACAATTTGAATTCGATGATGATACTATATCAACTGGTTTATCTCCTTTAATCAGTCGTCTCAATCAATGACGTGTTTTATCACTCATCAATACAACAGCATTTCACATTCATTCTCAAGCATTAGCTGTATTAACTTTATCTCAATGACAACAACCTTAATTATATGCCTACTGATATTTTCCGTCTGCAATATCTTAAAAAAGTTGATGTGCAGAGAAATCCTTTTCCTGCAGATGAAATTAATGCGATGAAAACGAGATTTCGAACAGGCATTCCAAATTGTATCGTTCTGGTTTAAATGAAATAGAACTTGCTTCAATCACTATTCTACAGCGTATTTTTTTGTCAAAGATTTTCTTTTATTGTTTTAACAGAACTACTCTATTATTTGACAATAAAAAAGAAATATCTTTGTTATATTTTTCTCTGTTGATTGATATAGTTTTCCTGTTGTCATTATAACAATCGATCGGTGGTAGAAGATAAATGTTCACAGAAAACTGAACAAATCATTACTGGCAAAACATTGTTCAGTTGATGCTTTTAAGTTATCGACATGGCGAACGATATAAACGACGATTGAAGATGAAGACAACATTGAAAAATAATTTGACATTAAATTCGAACATCGATGAAATTATACAATTGGATTCAAGTCAAATCTTTCCATGTTCATCAATGAACTTATTTCAAGTCAAATTTCAAGAATTCCGTTCAATAATATAATTTAGTTTTCAATAACTGTTATCATTTTCTTGAAAATTTCAAAGTATCGTTTTTTTTTCTCTTCAAACACTTACATATAACTGTAAATGCGTGCAGGTTTCATCTGATTAATTTGATGGATGTCTCAAATAGAGATGATTTTAATGAAATCGATTTTGCCGCAAATTCAAATTCCCCATCATATGAGGCGAATATCTCCTACAACGAAAATCTTCTAGTG